CAAGGGGGAACTGCTCCTCTCCTGCTTAGCCAAATTCCTGGCTGAGTCCTGAGATAACCTTTCCTTGCTGCCTGGTTTGATTTTGACCGTGCCTGACAGCTCCCCCTTATTAGAGCTAATCAAGTCCTGCAGAAAGCCATAAGGTGGCAGCATCCATTCATTAGTGTGCTCCAAACTAACTCAGTTATAAATTAGAATTCAAAATCGGCCAGGCATACCAGCAGGAATTCTTTTAACTGTGTGTATACAGGCCTGAACATCAGCCTACGACCAGATTTTGAATTTTTGTCAGCAATGACTTAGGCCAGAGTGAACAATGTGGGTTTTTTTTCTTTTTGTAATTTCCAATGGGTCCTTTGTTTTGTTTAACTACAATTACAAGAACAGCACAACTACTGAGTCTGATTAGCATGCAGATAAAGCAATCACCTCAGCAAAATCAGCCTGAAATAGTGCTTCGTTTAGAAAATCACTACAAAAGGCTTTTAATTTCTCTTTACTAGAGAAAGTCAGGATATCTTCCTACATTTATTGTTGGTATTATTAAAATAGCCAGTACTTTAGCTAATCTTATGTCCCTGGTATTACCCCAAAATCTTATCATTTAAATTCCCATATAATGTTATAGGTCTTCAACCAAAAATTAAGTCATCACATAAATACATGCACCAACTAAAATCCTATTTTACACATATGCAATTTATTTTCACCTGCAAACAAATTGGAAAAAAAAATTAGATAAAGGAGCCTTATCAATCTCAATGAAAATCTGCCGTTGCTTGGGATATTTATAGTGCAAGACTATATTAGAAGCATCACAATACAGCTCCTCAATGTTGCACAGAGCAAAAAACTTTTCTACAAACAAGGGAGAGATAAAGATATTGTGGTCACAAGAAATATGCTGTTCACTATGACTTCACACAAAAACCAGGAAAACACAGGTGTGACGAAGAATCTCTTCTAACACAGGTGTACCTATGGAAGTGACAGACACCAGCAAAAACACCAACTTATCTTTTATGGATAATCTGAGGAAAAAATATTAGGACATTTTCCTTTAGTGCTGTGACACTTAGGAGAGATGTAAATAATTACCTTGATATATCCCAAAGGAGACAAGACGGTCATGAAAAAAATGCTCCATGGATCATCAAATGCCAAGTCAGAAAGAAAATTTGTGATTTTTGAATTCACCTCCTGTAAGCTGAATACATCACAATTACTCACATTGCACCAGTTGGTTTGGACAGAATTCATAGGAACTTTGCAGAACACAGACCCCAGAAATTTCTTGCTGTTCAGTTTCTCATTCAAGCAGTTTAACCCACACACAGATCTAACACATCTGACACTGAGGAAAACAAAATTAAAATTAAAACTCTGTCTTCACCTGAAGAATGTTGTAACAAATAACCTGACTGTCAGGACTTCAGAATTTCACCACACTTTGGAAAACACAGTGGCAGATTGTGCCTAACAAGCTTGTACTCATTCCCTTAAAACACGCTGAATTTTCAGTAACTTTCATATCAAAATGAAGATGCTAACCAAGAAAGCAGCAGTCCAAACTTTTTGTGTATTTAGATAAAAGATATTCTACATTCTGTCACCACATAGCAGCAGCTAACTACTATAAATCCATCTGTGCTCGAAGTCCTCTGTTAGACTAAGTTAATCTTCACCCTCTGGTATCAATAGCATTAAACTATATCCCAGGCAGTGATTCACATCACACAGTCCTCCTAAAACAGACCATGCTGAGACCCAGCAGTTTAGCAATGAACTCACAAAGCAAGTTCTTTAATATCACTCACCCTATAACGTACATATCCGTGGTGGGGCTCACTGAGTTGAGTTGAAGTAAACTCGTGACATCAGGAGGGGGAGAAGCTGTGCCCACATTCCAGGTAACTAAGTGTAGTCTAAAAACAAACAGAAACAACACAAAACCAATGCTAAAACTGAAATGTCAACAGACAACTAACTCCAAGAACGTTCTAATTTCCCCACAGAATTTCTGTCACTTCTCATCAGAAATATATTTGCCAACCCCACCGCCACCACAAAAACAACCAACTGGAGGGAACAAAACCTGAATTCTTGCCACTTATCCTTCAGCTTTTTCCCCCAGATGAGGAAAGCTTCATCCAGAGTGCGAGACACTTCTTCGTGGATCTCATCATCCGAGCTGATGTCCTCCACGCACGCCATCAGCTGGGCCACCCTGTGCCGGAGCTGTACGCGGCCGCTGGAGCCGGTGCTGCTGACGCTGGCGGAGCGGCTGCGCAGGCTGGGCAGACTGTCCAAATCGTTCAGGGAGAGCCCCTCGGAATGCTGAAATGCATCCTCGCTGCTCAGCGATGCCATCAGCTCTCCAAGTTAAAGCTATGTCCTGAAGGACTGGCCCATTCAAATTAAGAGATTGATAAGGGTCTTCCAGATGTGGAATTCAGCATTGCTCCCAACACAAAAGGACAAATGTAGGTGCAGCAATGCTGGGAAAAAAACCTGTGGCGTTCCCACCACACTCGCTGGGGTGTTACAAAAGCTGCAATCACATCCTACCACACACAGTGAATTGTTTTTTTCATAATAGATTTAATGTGGTTAATTCTACAAGCTCAAGGTTTAAAAGAATTTATTGTTGATTTGAATCCATCATGTGCCTGTCTGTAGGCAAGGAGAAATGTAATCTCCAGCTTCCAAACATTCAAAGTTCTGATCAGAACCAAACAAAGCCACTGTTCCTCTCAACATTCATATCATAGGACTCATCTGTTTCTTTAGAGAACAGTAATTTCAGTACCAGAGGTTCTAAAAAGAGATTTGCCTTACTGTCAAGTCTTGTTACATGACAGACAGGCTTAAAAAATAATAAATTTTAAATTTCCACCCATCTTAGGGCTCTACAATGACCTAATAAACACTGATAATTGGTGAGTCCCACCAAAACACACATTATTAAGGCTGTGTTTTTTATCCCACAATCAACTGCTTGCTCAAGGTGACACACATTGTATGCAGAAAAGCTGGAAAATTACTTTGCACAACAGACTAAAATGATCCATAATTTCCTTCTCTAATAGTGTACCTTTTTAAGACTATGCTGGTCACCCAAAAGCTACTCCAAAACAAATTTCTAACGGGAAAAAAATGTAGGCAGGCTACAGATCTAATTCTGCCAGCAGAGATATATCACTTGGGAACGTTCTCCAGTTACTAATTTTGTAAAACAATTACCCGATTAAACAAAACCAAAATTATATTGAAGCCATCAGTCATTACTGACAGAAATTCAACTCCTCAAGGTGCCCAGCGACCACAGTACTGATAAAAACACAGACTTCAGTGGTAGAAACAAACAGTGTCCTAAATACAAGCAACTGAAGTAATTATTTAGCATCACCGCTGCTAATCCTCAAATGACTCAATAGCGGAGAATTTCTCGGGGTCACAGTGCTCATAATAAAACCTTCAGAGGATTTTTGAGATATGGGAGCTCTTGTCAGCTTGTTGGTTTGTTTTTTTTAAATATTCCTGTCACATGCTGTTACCCAAATCCCATCTAAGCAGGTTTCTGTAGGGAATCGCGCCCTGACAGAACACCGACACAGAGTGAAGACACATTGTAAAAACATCGTAAAAGCAGAAGCTCAGTGTTTACTCAAGCTTCTTCTTCCTCCCAGAAAGTGACAGGTCCGAGACTGCCGGTCCATTACCAAAGTGCAGATGCTCGTGCCCTCATTACACATTTTGCAGAGCTGTGAGAAGTCCCAAGCACCCAGAAATGCCCCATAAGCCTCCCTGAAGCACTCCAGTACCGACCTTCCAAACCAGAAAATCAGCTTTTCTCCTCTATTTCATATGACTGCGCAACGCCGCCAATTTGTGTAACTCCCCGCTAATAATCACACACACAAGTTTCGCTAATTCTCGCCCATTTACGTAACCGCTTGGGGTCACTTTTCGGAGCTGCCCTCAGACCCGCACCTCGCGCCCCTCCGCGCCCACCACTCACTTCAACTCCTTGGTGGGAAGGCCCGCGGTCTCCATGCCCGGGGTTCCCGCAGGGAAGCGCTGCCCGAGGGACGGGGAAGGTGCCGGCGAAGCCCCCCGCTCTCCCCCTCACAGGGCCCGGCCCGGCCGCGGCCTCACCTCGGCTTCCCCAGGGGGGGCTCGGGCGCTAACATGGGCGCCGCCATCTTGCTGTGCAGACGGGACGTCACGTGACTCCGCGGCGGAAGGGCGCGNTTCCCCCCCCCCCCCCCAAGTTTTTTCCACTAATCAGGAAAGCTTTGTGTAAAAGCTCTTACTCTGAAATCAGAGGATCAAAAAAGGATTGCAATGGTGGAATGTTACAATCTGCTTCCACGGCGATTAGTGTCATCAGATGGAAAGCCTCTTGGATAACACAAACTGAAAGAACAAGTGTGCTATGTGTGTTCTCAGGTTGCCCTCAAGTGTAAGAATCCCTCAAAACGTAACCAACAAACATGAACAGAAGTCAGTGCATAAATTCTCTGTTAAAAATACTTCAAACTGAAAGAACTCTAACTGGGGCCTACACTCCTAGAATACTTCTGGAACAGCTATACAACATGTCATGAAACATCCTGGTCCCAAATAGCCTCTAAGATTAAAATTTTGTTTCTTTACCTATTTTACAATAAACATATTTTACTTCTGCCTGGTGAGATTGCTAAAACCCCTCAAACCCCACCCCAACCCCACAGAACCGTCTGAGGTCACTGAGAAGAGCCTGCCAGAGTTACTGGTACAATTCAGAGCTTATTGCACTTAGACATGAGTAAGGCAAAATAACAAACTAAAAATAAAGGGATAAACTGCCCCCTCCCCAGAAACCAAACGCCATCCTCTCCCTCCAGAGCATTCCCATCTTCCCTTGCACTGAAAACAGCTCTGATCCCAGCACAGCCTTGTTCAGCAGGGCATGGGATCATTTCAGGATCTCCTGCTTGCAGGAGTGGGAAGGGCTGGAGGAGTCAGTGTATTACAGAATACTAAAAAGACTCCTCAAAAGTGGTGATACACCCACGACTGTTTGGCATACAGGATTTCATGTTAGTGCTGCCAAACACAGAAGTGGAAAATTAAGTTATTACTACTAGGGGAGGAAAAAATTCAAATATTGGGCCTTAGGGATAAGCAAAGAAGTAGGATTTTTTTTTCCTCATATGTATTGAAGAAAGCAGCATTTCCTTGATTCTGTTCTGCTGAGTTGATTGTCTAAAGCTGATATCAACATAAGGATAGTTACAGTAAATATTTGAGTTCATTAAATAACGAGAGCTCTTTCCATTAACAGTATCCTCTATGATTTATAATAACCAACAGATATCCTAGAAAACTGCAAGTCTTTCTAAGTTGCTTTTCTTACAGCACAAAAGGAGATATTTTAGTCAGTCTTGCAATGGGAAGAATATTATTGCTGAGCAGAACCACCGTCCCAGGCACTTGGATGTAACCAGATGCCAAGACCTTGCTTGCACACCAGCCTTTGCAACATCCCAATTTGTCCAGGGAGAATCACATTGTTATTATTAGTCCAGATTTGTAAGTTATGGGAAGTCTTAATAAATAAAGAACCAGGAAGTTGCAACATATGTCGAGAAAGATTTTGTAAGACTGACACACACAGCTGGAGGACAACAGAGCTACGTGGGCCAGAGAGACCCCTAAAATGGAAATTCAACAGGTAAGTGCTGAAGGCCCCAGCACAGGGCCTGACTGCAGCTTCTGGGCAGTCTTTAATTCATGTTTAAGACAGAACAAAGTAATGCCCTGCAGAAGCTACAAATCACAACTCATCACAAACCAAGAATTCTATGGCTGCTCCTCATTTTGTACTCAGGTTATCTGCCATTAAATATCTCCCTCCAGGAGTGAAGGTGAGAACAAAACATTTTGTGGAAGAGTTTTGCACTTTTAAATATGGACAATTTCCCTCTCCAAACAGACATTCAAAGAAGGTGAAGGGCTGGGCAGAAACAAAGGTGGCAGTTTATCCCACTTGGAAAAAAAACAAAAACAAAACAAATAAAAAATTCTAAGTCACCACATCACAAGACTATTTGAGCTAAAAATGTCACTTGGAAATCAAACAGGGCCACATGGAAATTGGTCTGAACACAATGAAAAAAAGAGGAGGGAGGAGTCGTAAATACAGCGATCTCTAAGTCACACGGCCCCAAGGAGGAAACTCCTTGGGATACACGTGCTAACACTGGAGTGCTTAGTACCAGACTGTCTATTTGCTCACAATATTAAGGGGCATCTAGAATTAGCTATGGGAGGTTTAAAATCGCCTGCCGGTTGGACAGAGAAAGGCTTGATCCAGAGATGTTCCGTCAGTCAAGGGTGTGGATTCCCTGGGCCTTCCTGACGACTGTCTTGCAAACTGAAACAAAGAGACAACAGGGAAACGTTTCAGGATGACTTTGGAAGAGCAGCATGCCAAGGGAAGCGTCAGACAACCTTGGGAGAGCAAATGTGAGTCACGCTGTCGCCAGGTAGGCAATGCACGGCTCCACTGCAGCACTGATCCAGAGGAAATGGGAGAGAAGAAAATCAAGTTGAAGCTGCATTCAAAAATTAAAGTATTTCTATCAAAAGACAGCCCTTCAGACACTCCCTCACCTCGTGTTCACCACTTACCACCAAGCAACCAGCAGATAACAGAGGGCAAACAGAGGTAAAGAGTCAGGACTCCAGGAGGATGTGGTTCTGCCCCACCCCATTCCTTCCAAGGATAACTAGGATGGTATTTTACTGCCCTAATAACCTGTTCTTCCCAACATAAATGGACAATCCTTTCTTTTTCCTTGCCTTCTTACTTCTCTAATACCATACCAGAGTTTTGCAGTGTCTAAGAAAAATTTGGCAAAACCAACCCCCAAGCTGATGACACATTTAACAACAGAAAGAGAACAAGTCTCTTAAAAAGCTTTAAATCTGTCTTTTAAAAGCTTTAAAACTGTCATTGTTGCTTCTCCTGCAATGCCCAAATGTTACTCTGAGCCTTGGCCCACTAGTAAATACTGCTAACAAGCAATGGAAAAAATAAATTCCTCACAAATATGCTTGGAATGTTCCATTTCCAACTGTATTCTAAGTGTTTGCATGTCCACCTTAGATTTTTTGAGACTGACAAAAGTTTCTCTGCAAGTCATGGAAAGTAACATATGCATTACAGAAATAAGAGTAGCTGTAAACTCTACAGAATTTTCTAACACATTTTTCTTACACTTTTCACTCAGACTTTTCTTTAGAATAGTTCTGAAAGAAGGCAGTAATCCTCACTCATCAACCTGTCAGTGAAACGGGTTCACTACAAAAACAATCAATAGCACAGATTTGTGTGTCAGAAGCTATGAACAGGATCATTTCTCACACAAATGTTGGGGGTTTTAAACAAAATAGAGCAATACAGAGTTTTGTCAAATCTCTTGATACCTACAGTGCACAAGGAAGGAGTCATATTAGTCATCTGCAGCCGACATTCCTTTCACTGGATCTTTTTCTCTCATCTGAAAGAGGAAAGAAGTGTTCAAGTACTTATTCTCACTGTATTATCTCAAAATGTATCAGCATGGAACACCCTCTGTGTTTAAGACATCGATTATATCTCAGCACTTCAAATCAGAGATTGTGAAATGCACAAGCAGGCATCATTTCTGGTTAAGCTGTGGGTTGGCAACAGATTTGGAACATTTATCCAAAGGGCAAGAGCGTACATGAAACTATAATGAAATATCCTGAGGCATGAAGGGAGAGAAGGGTGCAAGGCAGGACACAAACCATGGAACAAGGTTCTCATTATTACCAAACTTGTGTTTCTCAGAGTAAGAATCCTGTTACATACCCCCTTACCTGCTTATGGTATTTAGAGCTAAAAAACCTTTTACTCAACAGGTTTCTGACAACTAAGGAGGACAAAATCGACCATTCAGCTTTGAGTAAAAGTAAACAGAAGATATTGAGACAGTAAATGAATCACTGCCACTCAGCCCCTCATTACCTGTGGTTCAATACATTTACTGGCTCAACAACAAACAGAAGGAGAATTCCATAATGATTAGGAGGAGATGCCAGCACGATGGACTCATGGCCAATCATTCAAAGCACACACAGCATGACCTAAATAGCAGGAGCACAATTCACACCATGCCCCAACAATGCAGCAGCCTTTCCTCTTTGCTGTGCTGGAGAGAAGCAGTTTCTCACACAACCCACACCTGCCCTGCTTTGCCACTGACCTCATCCAGCTGTCTCTTGGTCTCCTCCTCCATCCTACGGATGTCCTCCATAGTCAGATCAACCCACTTATCAAGCCAGCAAAAGAGCTGCCGGTGGAAGTTTGTGAAGAGCCGCTTTTCTTGCTGCAAGAGGAATAAAACACAAACCAGCTTAGTCACAGGGCAATTACCATGGAGCTCACTGCATTGTAACAATTTCCAGAGATGTGTACACTGAAGAATCAGCTCCCTCGCCCACCTTTTCATCTAGCTGCCACAATTGGAAACTGGAGATAGCTAATTTTTATTCTTTTATCAGAATATCTAATCTACAGCCTTGAATCCCCAGAGAAATGTCGTTTTTTTTTTTTCCCCCAAACCTAGACAGCAGTCTGCACACTGCACTGAAAGAATTAGTGAATTTCCTTTGATTTGACAGTATGGTTCTGACTGAATAAAGTGCTCCAAGTTTGGTTTAGAGCATGAAAGTTGGCCTGGAAGTGCAGAAAAACGGAGAAACTATGTATTTTTAAAATCACTAATTTGCTAAAAACTGGAAGTTAGGAAGTGTAAAGGGCTGACATGCACCTATCTTTTCTTTTTCTTTTGCAGTGGGCTAAAAGAATGCCTAAACTTATTTTTCACAGCTGAAAACCTTTCATGTGCAAGGTACTCCAGGTTTGAAGTGATTTATTTCCTTTTTATAAGAGATAAGCTAGGCAAAATCATTATATTAGACAGGGATGTACAATGCCTCTTGGAAAGACCTCATTAAGGAAGGACACTCCAGTTTTACCAATTATGGTTTCATATCTCATCAAAAGCAGCTTGAATACTTTGATGCAAACCTGTAGATAGTCATAAATAGAAAGGGATTGAAGACACTGCTTTATTCAGGGCTTTTGTTAGAGGTATTTGAAATCCTGCAGCACCATGGTCATTCCTCCTTTGAGCTGTCTTTGGATTGTATCACCACAAAATTGCTTTTGTAGAAGCAGCTCTGTGGTTTGTCAATATTAACCACTGAGAAGTCTCTGTGATCTGAAGGCACAGGAGTTTTATGAACACAGCACTGCTCAGAAAACCACACACTACCATTCCCAGGTGTAGCATCCCCACAAAAAAGCTCTTTTCAAGATACCATTTATGTTTTAACTTTCCCACCATCTGCTTATTTTTTAGCACACATTTTTCCAGCAGAGGAAATAGAGAACAGGAGAGGAAAACGTGACTAGACCTCAGCTGATCAGGATCAAATAGCTGGAGCCACCTCCCCACAAAAATGCTTTGCCCCTACACAATGTAATTCCAGTATAAATGCATCACCTCATCACTCACAAACCAGCAACCAAGTGACTGCAATTCTGATCCATTAAACAACACAAAACAGCCAATTTACCTGCACACATTAGAGTGAAAATGTTCAACAGAAAATTCACAGAACAATCAGCCAGCCCTGCTGTTGGATTAGCAGCAAATTGAACCCAGCTTTAACTGACTGCACAATTTCAGGCAGAGGCACTGCCTGTACAGCAGGTGGCTGATGAAACGTGCCCCAGAGATGTGCATCTCTCCCCATCACAGAACCTACCTTCTGTATAAAGTTCTCCACTTTATTTTGCAGACCCCACCACTTGAACTTGACTGTTACCAGCTTGTAAGCACACATGTATGGACAATCTGACTGCTTCCCCAGGTTAAGCCTCTAGCCAAGTGTCTCCAGGAAAGCAACTCCTTCCGTTGCAACTACGAAGTCTTCCCACAATTCCCCACAATCCTCTTGCATCCTTACACCTTTCTTTTATTTTATCGACAAGTTTTGTCACACCTTTGCTCACCCTTTTTCAAGGCATGATGAAACTAGACCCTGGTCTCCTTCACAGGTGGCTTTCCCTCCATTCTGAGAACAGACTATTCCTTCCTCTCCTCTGTTGTCCACTTTTTCTTCCATTCAAATTATGTCTTTCAGTATCTTCACTGTTACACCACGGCTACTTTGCTTCCTTAAAAGTCTCCTGATAAAGTCCCTACCTAAAACATTTTGGAATTAGATTATATCATCTGAGCCATGATTAGAAAGCTTTAAAGAAAACTCCATAAGGTTTCCTATTTCCTATTACAGGAGCCATAACCACTCTTCCCAAGTGAATCATATCAGCCTCAGTTTCTGCCAAGTTTGCCTGCTAGAAATCAGACCTGTACACCAGTAGCTCCCCAAATCCCACTCAGGGTCCCTTTTAAAGGTATTATATCTATTTTTTATCTGTGCTTGTAATGTTTCCAGAATCCAAGGATTTCAGTGAAAGGTTAAACACTGCTGATCATTACTCAGCTATTTCATACTTGAATTCTCTTGGGTGAACCCTTGGGCTGAGCACCAGACAGCTCTGGAGATTTCCTGGAACTCATTCTCTTTGTACCAAGCTCTTTCATTTCTTTTAAAATCAGAAGAGAATCAGTGCTGAGTTCTGCATTTCCTTCTGCAGAAGGGATTCCAGTGTTCCCCAGATGTATCTTTGGCTCCAAATCCCAGTATCTGTCCTGACACAGTTCCTGAACTCATCAAGACAAACCTTCCAGTTGGGACCCAGAGGTCCACGTCCAGTCTTGACAGATTTAAACCTTGCTGGATCCTCTTCTGCCTTGTAATCCTATTGGACAGACACAAAGATTAAACACAAATTATCCTACTGTTATCCAGCTGTTCTCTCACAAGAAGGATATTTATTTTCCTGGGCCAAGACTAACCTCTGCCTTCTCAAGAGCTTCTGTTTTCAGACCTTAACACTAGATCAGACACTTCAAGGAAATGTATCTCCCCCCTATGCTGTGTCCTAGACCTATGAAGAAGTGGTAACAAACTGATATGACCTCTGTAAGGCTATCAGAAGGTCTGTAGGACATGTTTCCTGTAACCATTTGTTCTTTGGGAGCTGTTACAGAAAGCAGCTGTGCTCTCTAGGATTTTTTACAATCCTAGATAGTAGGAGTATCAGTGTGATGCTCACATGCTGCTCACTAGAAGAAAATTATAGTCCAACTCACAGTACTACCATGAAAATGGTATCAAATATTGTTTGAAAGTCAGGAAACTCAACCAACATTCCATTTTTATACAGTTGATTTTTCTTCCCAGTAAAGAAACACCCCTTTCTTTCTCACAGTAACTGAAGTGATTCTTAGAACCAAGTGTTGGCTACATCATTTCCAGACACACTTGTGAAGCGGGTCAGTATCAAAAAGGGGAAGTTCTGGAGATCCTGTATGGAAAGGGGAGTGCCATTTCCTTCTATTTGCACTTCAGACAGCAGCACTGCTGTAGAAATACACTGTTACATACACAGGCAACACATTTTACTGGCAGCGCTGACACAGTTTTTAAAAGAACTTTCCTCTGGCTTGCATGAGCAGTTTTAAGGAACCCCCTTTCCTCCTCTGTCCATCCTCTCACTTGTCCTGCTGCCTGAGACCATCCCTGGAAGCACAGTTTGTCCATGATTCCCTCTTTTAGCATAAGGTCTCCCCCCCAGGGAGCTGTTACCCACCTACCATACCTTGGGGAGTACTTGGCTCCGATCAGCAATGTCTATATAAATGGCTTCTACATTCTTCCATACCTCTGGCTCCAGCTTATGGACCTGTAGGGAAACAACAACACTCAAGGAGCTGCCTCTGTGACAGAACACTCCCAGTCTAGCAAAATATAAAACCAGATGGAAATGCAGACACCCAGCGCTCCCCTTCCCACCTAAAGAGAGGTAAACACAAACTGGGAGAGTTTCTAAAGAAGCAAAGGTGCTCACACAGAACAAGGGTTTGGGGGTAAATTTTATTCAGTTTATGAGAGAAGCCAACAGAAGGGAATCTGCCTTGGTAGTGAGACAAACATTAGAAATGCAGGAACATGGTGAATAGACAGCTCCACACAGCACTTCTCTAACCCAGCACAGAAAGCAGCACTGTGACATTAAAGAGATGAGTAAAACACACGACACAAGTACTTACATTCTCTTGTGTTCCAAGATCTGATTTATGCCAGGTTTCAATTTTGATGAGGAAGTCATCCTTCATATACTCATTCTGTCATCAAAATAAAGCTTCTTGTTATTCTAGGATATATAATTTGTCTTCTTATTACACAGATAAGCATTAGGAGAGTCAACTCAAAGAACTGAATAATTCAAAGAATGAAGTTTCCATTTGACTTGGGTGTGAATTAGGGAATTTCAGAATTATTTGTAACCAGATCATTGCTTTCTGCAAAATTGATTGATCATTAATTACTTAAGATTAAATAAACCACAAGCTGCTCACAAAAAACCCCGTAAGTTCTATTGTTTTAGTGAAACATTTGGAGTTTATAAACAGCTTTTTCTTTAAAGGACAACATCTGCCACTCTATTTGGAGTTTAGAAGGGGTAACATAAGTTAGCTAGGCAGAAACTGTCTTTCCACAGAGATTATTAATCTAGTACTGAGTACATATTTTGATGCAACTCTTCAAATTAATAACAATATCAAACTGATGTGCTGAGAGCTTTTGACACTGAAAGTGAAGGGACAAGAAGCACAGTTCTGCCAAGTAAGCAAAAAACTTTCCATTTCTCACTATTACTGTGAGTAGCAAAGGACTCCCAAAGGTAACTCTATCCTCCCTCAGGGGAGCAGAAACAAAAGCACAAGCCAGTGAAACACTCAGCACTTAGAAAGGAAATATCAAATTCAGAAGAGATTAACCAAGGGGACAGCATGACAGGAGCTAACAGGCTTTTACTCAGTTTACCCAGGCAGGGGCTTGTTCCCATTTGTAAAGCTGAGCTTTGCTGAGCACAGATCTCTGTCCATGGTCACATAGATACACCACACGTGGTAGAGGCAGTTAATCTATGTAATCTTAAAATGATAAAAGCTAAAATGCCTTCAGCTCAGGTTAAAGAGCTTCTTCTACCCAGAACACTTTATTTCAGACATTATTCCACAGATTATCAGTAAAAGCAATACTTACTGTAATAACTGGTCCAAGAAATCAACACATGGAAAGAAAGAGACACAGTACTTTAGTGAGAAAACACTGCAGAGCAACCATTGCCCTCCTCCCACTCTCAGCCAAATAGGGACAGCTTCACCTTCCCAGGTACCTCTGAGGGAAAAGACATGGAAGTTGATAAAACCCAGCTGACTTCACCCCCTTCTCCTCTGGAAATTCTCAGACTTGGAGAAACCCAGAGGAGCAGCAATTAATTATGCACTGCCACTTGTGCTCCCTGGCCTGCAGCCAGCTGGATGAGAAGATGGAATAAGTATGTTCAGCTGACAGCATTTTACCAATCCTTTCTCAGCTTGCAGATAAGGAGTCTCTCCATAGTTCCAAAGGAAACCCATGCTGGATTTCAGGCCAGTGCAGCCCTGCCTGGAGTAACCAGACCCTCAGCATCTTTGCTGCTCATGGTAACTGAACTCCCTGGACACCGAGGCTCAATTATTCAACACAGAAAAGCAATTAAAGATCCTGTAACAGTCAGCATCTGCTCTACCTGAGCAATTCTACTCAAGCAGAAGGAAGTCTGATGCTGGAGGTGAAGTTCTTTGGTCTCTTCTGAAGTCTAACACCAGGGCTTGATTAAGGAGCAATTTGGTTTTAAAGGTATTATAACAATTTTTGAGTTTCCAAGCCAGTGTCCTGGAGACAGTTATCATCCCAAATCACTTATCATGCACATCCAGCTGCCTTAATTACCCACTGCTGGGCTTGGACTGTTCTAAACCCCTAGCATGTGAAAATTGCTTTTTAGAGCAATTTTACAGAAAGCCAATTATTTAGACTGACATGTTGGGCTGGAGGGAGAGAACAAGAAGGCAGAGCTGAGGCTAATTTTTCAAAGGCTGAACTTCATCTCAAAGAACATTTTATTACTTCTGCAAGAAGGAAATGTTGGGTTTTTTTTCCCCTGTTAGTCCCAACAAAATACTGAATAAACCAGAAATAATTATAAACCAGGGCCTTCTCACTTTGCCATGACTCTGTGCTGTGACTATGCAGCTGCCTCAAAACAGGTTCCTTTACCTCCTTAACATCTTCCCTGTGGGGAAGACTCCTTATTTGTAAAGAAACAAATTAATCTCTTCAGAAATGTCCACTAAAACTTCAATGCTCAGCTTGCTACAAATTAGGACCTGCTTCTTGAGGCATTACAGCAACAACTCCTACACGTTTCAGCTGCAGTTACAACTTCTCCACTTCTTGACATTTGGCCACAGGCCATGGTTACACTCAGAGTGGAACACACATCAAATTGCTTTTCTAAAAACATTTAAGCGACATTAATATTTAAGTCAGACTGCAGAGAAGAACACTGTGCCCCTTGGCATCAGCCCACAAGTACAACTATTAGATAATCCTCACTTCATTTTTACTGCAGAAGTTGTGAAACCATACAATAACAACAACCTCACTTACAGTTTATACTCTCAAAGGAACTAAGCAAGGCTTCCATTCAAAGCACATAAAAACAACATATTACAGCAGAAAGAAGTGTGCAGGACTGCAGAAAGTTATAAGCTAGGCATTTAAATACCTTCAATCTCCAGTACTACTTTGATAATGGCCCATAATATGCAAATTAATTGAACTTCTCAGAGGAGATATAGGGAAATGTAAGAAGGATGAACTCATATCATTAAAGAAAAAATACCACAAGGCACAATTAAGTAAAAGCACTGCTTTATTCCAGTTTAGAAGGCTCTGTGAACAGCTGATGTGCAAGCAAGCAGTGCCTCAGGGAGAGCACAGCAACACCACCTCAGACAGGAGGGAGCAGGCAGAAGCACCAACAACTCCTACACTCAGGTTTAGTTCCTACTGGGTCCCTGGCTCTTAAATTTCAGATTCTAGTGAGAGGGCTGAAAGCCTGGCTGCTCTAAGCCAGCATCTTCTGCTGCCCAGAGATTCACAGCAGGGCACCCAAGTCTCCTCACGTCTGACCAAAACATGTGAGCGTATCCAGAGGAAAACAGAAATGCCCAAGGCAGCCCCACAACACATCCATGTGTCCTCACATCCAAAGGTTCCCACATCCAAGGGTTCTCTCTCACATCCATGGGCTCTCTCACCCATGGGCTCTCCCCTCCTGCCCAATCCCAGCCAAGGGAAGGTTTACAGCAACTTTTCCAAACTCCTCTTGCTTCGTGTCAGGCTGGCAGATTCTCTAAACAGATTTATCAGCCTCCGCATCAAAACTGCCTTCTGCTCCAACCCCCACAACAAAGCACTTTTTATCTCATTTTATGTTGCTGTTTATTACAGTTGAGGGGTTTTTTTTGGCTTTGTTATCATTTCTAGCATATCAAAACCTGAAATTTCTTTGATGGTGTTGAAAGGTTTTGTACTTGATTTTAGTATCCCATATTTTCCACTTCAGTAGAATTTTATTGGTTTGTAACTGAAGGACAAGAAGCTTAAGAATAACAGAAGTAACTCAATACCTTTTTTTCAGAAATTGGTGGAATAGGAAAAGAGGAGGTGGAGGATACAGCCAGGCATTTAAATCAGCTCAGTGGGCTTAACATGGAAATAAACTAGACATTTACTAACTAATTTAAGTAACATGCAGCAAGAAAATGGCATAAAACTTAGAAAAGTTGTGAACAACTTTGTTTCCTGATCTTCTGTGAGACATTAAAAATTTATTCTAAAGTTGACAGCACTATCTGAATTTTGTATTTGAAATATCCATTCCACTAGACTGCTGCATATAATTTCACAGACTGAAGTAGCACTATCCTCTAACACTGCAGAGCTTTTCCCTTCTTTTAAAACACTTCATTTAAAATTCACTTAAGTAAATTGTCTGAAAAAAAGGGCTTTTTATATATTGAGTTTCAAGAACAGTTGGAATTTTTAAGTGTCTCATTCCCATAGCAACTAGCAGAAAATGTATCTTTCAAACAGCATAAAATGCTGCCAGAAACACAACATAAGTTTGGAGGCAAAGTCAAATTTTCAGTTTACAGCAGTGAAGACCAGAGAAGCCAGTGGTTAAACACCATGGCTGGTAAGTTCAGTAAGTAAACACTAACCACTCCTGTTGAAAATGGGTCTGACATTATTTCAGCACTTTACACAGCTCCCAGAGCCTCACCCCTGCCTTTACAGATGGATTCACTTCAACTGCCACATTCTCTGTTCAACCCTCACTGACCTCAGATCCTGCAAGTGAGCAAATACCCATCACTCAACACTTGTTCACCTGCACTAAGCAAGAGGCAGCTGAGATCTGCCCTGTTCCCCTCTTGCATCTTCCACTTTTTCCCACTTGGCTATGCTGCACTTGAAGACATAAAATCACCCCTCATGTGTTTATTTCATCAGTTTTACACAGATATTCCTTTAGGAAGACTAACAGATATTTCCTGGTCTGTTTTTTTTCCTCTCATAGAGGAAGGTCACTCATTAGCAGCACATCAGACAAGGGCAGTTCTTTTAATTCCTCAGCACTGCATTTTGCTTTTCCTGATCACACAAAGGGCTTAGGGAACAGAAATCCAAGATTTAAGAGCTGAAACAGCTTCTCTACTGGTTACATCTTTCCTTATACCCTCCTCTACATTTTTCCCTGCTTCCAGAAAACAAAAAGGGAGAATCCAGAGTCCTTCCTCAGGCACTCACCAGTTCTGCAGTAGGGATAGGCATTCCATGCTTTTTCATGTATGTTCAGAGCTCCTTCAGGGGCCAGCATTCTCACAAATGTTGGCACTTTGCTGCAGAATTTGGAAACAGGAAGAAAGGCATTGATAAGGACTACATGGAGTGAGAGCTGAGACAGGCAGAACATCATCTGGAATGCAAATACTAGAGATTTGCACAGTTCTGGAATTGGTAGGGCTCTCCTCCCCAACCCCATTACGATGCTTTCCAGAGATACTGAATCAGACATATTAATATAAATCTTCTTTACAAATGAAAAAGAAAAAAAAAAAAAGAGGCTGAAAGCAGGTTGAAATCTAGTTGTTTTACTCTTCAGCCAAATTCAAGTATGAAAATACTGGTGGCAGGATCAGACTTGCTTTGAAAAGCTCAAAGCCAGATTTTCTTGGGACAACAGCCACATTTTACAGGGATGGGTAGGTGTTCCAGTCATGGTCACTGCCAGGTGCTGTTATACTCCTGTCTTACCACTGCATCTTTCAGCCTTAACAAAATCTGTGATTTACAGTTGCTGCAACCCTACTGCATCTTCCTGTGGTTCCTCTTGCCCAACCCTGGGAATGAAAAGGTTCCCATACCTCTGTAAGTGGTAGATCTTGTGTGTGTACTGCCCACGCTCTCCATCCCTCTCGTAGGGTTCATTCACCAGGACTTCCACTCCTTCACCTCCACCAGTTTCATTTTTACTGGCTTCTGCCACGGAATACAGCTGCCCCACTTGATACTGGAGAAGTTAAAGACATGTTATTACCATGGCTATAATTTAGCTGAAGTAATAACTTTGCCAGAAGAAGCCAAGGAAAAATTTATTACCGGGGAAGAGGGCAGAGAAAAGGATATCCACTTGTATAGGCAGATAAGCAGCTCATTTCATTTCTTTTGAGATAGAAAGCCTGAGTGGTAGCTAGGAGGAAAGCACCACCAGGAAGACAGTTACCTTTAACCCTTCAATCTCAAGCTCCAAAACAACACAGAATCAGGAGAAAGCAGGAAAGATGAAAGCAGCATCATAAACTAAGAAACACAGATGACCTCAGGCATACTGTAGCAAAATCTGTCGAGTTTCATACTTTTTGGCACACAGCTGTCCCCAAAAAAATTGAGAGTAAGGCACTGTCAGTCCTGAATCAGTAAGCACCCAGTGCTGCATCCAGGAGTCCCAAAGAAATTCACATCAAGCTCTTTTACAAAATGCAGGGGAAAGGGAAAGGGAATGAAAAACTCTGTAAGGGAGACAGAAAATAAAGGGTACTTGCATCACCTGATTTAAGTGCTCCCAAGAAACAAACTTGTTAAATGTGCACAGCTTAGGAGCCTCTGAGGGTCAAAGATGAGCATTCCCCATGTGCAGTTCAAACAACTGTATGTTGTATGAAGCCCGAAGTAAAGAGGGTATTTTCATTCTGAAAACTTTATCTAATGAAATAATTGAGCCAGTGTCCCAAGTGACCAGTTGATCTATGTTGTCACTGCTCCCAGTATTATTTTTCCTATTATCTTTGGTTTGGGTTGTGGTGTTTTTTCTCTACATCACACTTCCTCCTAGCCACAAGTTTAAACCACTACGAGGGAGAGCACAGAATTTCAACACACACTAAAATTCTTACTCTAAAATAATTTCTCAGTCTCTTACAGACACACACTTGGCAGCACCATTTCCCATAATCACTTAAAGTACTTGATACTACACAATTTCTTTCATGAGAGGCATTCACAAATGTTTCCCAGGGCAAAGCAGAGGAAAAATCGAGAAAATGAACAAAAGAGAACATTCTCCTCTGCATAAGATGTAAAGATTAATACACTCTTGCCTCTTGTAGCTGAAAAAGGGGATGCAGAGCTCAAAAGAAACATGATCAAACAAAAAAAATTCACACAGGTTTCTCAGAGGCAAAGTTAGCTGAGCAAAATTTGAGGATGTAGAAGCTAAACCACTGAATTAAAAGGAAGAGTTCTAACTTAGCAGACTTAAGTCTTCAGAACTCTTAAGTGAGCAAAACAGCAACTGTTGCCAAAGGCAACAGTACAGGGAGGCAATCTGAAAGGGTAAACCACAAAGTGTTTGGCACCAGAAGTGCACTGATTTAAAAAAAAAACAACCAAATGCCAACCCCCCAAAAAAATTCCATAACATAACTACAAAGCAATGCAACACTGTTCAGGCCATCTTCCTTTTCCACAGCATAAGGCTCTGTATCAGAAACAGGAATAGCACTTCTGAAACCCAGCCTGGAAAAGTGGAATACTGCTCAGAGCTGAGAACCCAGAAATACTTCACTGGGCTGGAACATCTTCTGCAACCAAGGAAGATTTCTACAGTCGTTAAATTTTGTTGTCAAAGTATCCAAAATAACAACAGTACCCAAAGCTCTCTGGTACTTTGTGCCACCTGGTGCCAACAAAGGCCAAAGAAATATTTATTCCTGCTGGAAAAATAGATGGAAGCCAGGGTAACAAGGCTAGGTGTCCTGGCCTCAGCTAATGTGGGGCAGAAAAAAAAACCCAGACCATTTTCCAGCTAAGAGCAGCAGCTCTCCTGGATCTCTCCAGAAAGTCCTGGCCCAGGTTACATGAGCAGCCCTCACTTGGCTGGACAGTTCCTGCACTGTCACAGCAGGTTGGGTTTCAGTCTGGATTTTGGGCTGCAGTACAAGTCTCTGACTTCTGACATTTCATACACCACACTGCTTTCCTTACGACTCCCTGCATATGACCCACACAAAGCAGAACACTCACCTCCCTCCAGAAGAGCAAAACATGAGAGTTGTGAAACCTTAGAAGCAAAGTTGCTTTAGCAGAGTAAGAGCCACACAAATAGTCATAGAACAGAACTTATTATGAGTTTGGTAACTACAGGATTACAGGGGAAGACTGAATAGCTTTGACTACTTTGCAACAAGTCCCAGGACAGAGCTCCAGGAGCACAAACTAATTCCTCTTAGTAACAGCCTCTTATTCATTCCTTCTCCCTTTCAAATACTTGGGTCAAAGTTCAGACACTAAGAAGATAAACCCTTTGGTTTAACATCTTCACCATTTAAACTTCCCTGTTATTTCTGAGCCTTTAATCGCATTGATAAGAGAGGAAAAGGCCCAAATAACACTGTGACAATGAGCAAATTCCACCTCATTCTCCCTGCAAAAGTAAACAGAGAAAAAGATTCTGGCTCTCTGAATCTGGACTCCAGACAGAGCTCCAAAAAACTTCTCTTCTGCAGGAAGTCATCCCTCTTGCTCTGTGCCAAACACCTCTTATACAGCTGCGAGAATATCTTCATTGCACCAAATTTCCTCCAGCAGGCCTGATCTCAACACAGCCATCTTCAAGAGCAGTTGTTTTCCTGAAAGCCGCTTTGAACGCAATTAATAAGATTCCTGTGTGTTTGGCAAGCTCTTTGCCATGTGAAAGGAACAAAGAGGCAGCACAGAATGTGTACACACAGCTCTAATCCATACCAGCATTTCAGTGGCAGCTGGCAGAGACACCCACATGAGTCCATGCTCCCCAAGCTGGCACCTGATGCTGGTCAGGGAATGGAAGCAAAGCCTGGCACCCATCACTCACCAAGCTGATTCCCTTTGCTCCCTGCAGTGGGACAAGGGATAAACCAGCACAGCAGTGCTGCTTGCAGCCTGCACTTGAGCAGGACCACGTTTTGGCAGGGTTTCCATGCAGAAGACAGACTGCTACAGTCTAACTCCTACATGCCAGCTTTTGAGTTTTAGTCATCGCCAGGGCTTCTCTTGCACTGTTTGGTTCCCATCTTGGCTAACTAAGCAGCACTGAGCTCTGTGTTGATTAAGTCACAGCTCCCTAACGCCTTCCTGATCACTAGTTTTCTCTTGAACTCCACAGTATTGGTAAGATCCATTCGCTAAGGGTGGAGACTGAACACAAAATCCCTGGCATACCACAGAACCGCACCGAAGACTCGCCTCAACCCTTTCATGATGTCTCAAAGTTACAATTAATTTCATTCCCTCTCTTACACACTGGCATCAGACTTTTGCCAACAATTTGCATGCAGAAGATGTGAGCTCTTAAGCCTTTTGAGCAAAAATCAACCATATAAAAATTAAATCAGAAGTCCTCCTGCTAGCCAGAGATGCTTCACAAGCAGCTACACAGTCAAGAGCAATAACAAATCTCCAGAGCCCTATTTCAGAGTTTTGTACACAAGGAAATCCTTGAAAGCAATGAAGGTTTAACAGCTGGTTTGCAGAATAGACAGCAGAGCAGTGACCAAGTGATGCACAGATGTTTCAGCATCGTTGCACACAGGAAGGGGGATCAGGCAATAAACTGAGCAGTCATCCTCTGAGTCAATACTGGAAATAACCTTTCTTCTTAAGCACACCCAGATACATAGGCAAAACTAAGTGAACTTTAGAACCCTCTCTGCTCAGGAAACTGGCTCCTGAATTCTGCCCTATCACAGGAAAAACACCAGACATTGGAAAGGGCCATCACTTATGGGACACGGTGACAATGTGCAAGTTTGGGGAGAAATTTGATTTGGTGAGGTTGGGGGTTTCTCCACAAGGCAATACACCTCCTGAAACAGATAACCCTCACACAAGGAGGTTGCCAGAGACTGACAGATTCATCTACAGCCCAAACCCTCAGCTTTCCACACAGGCAGTTCACAACAAGGCTCTGAACAGCCAGGGAGGGACGAGAGCACAGCCAGGGACTCGTTTAACTGGATGAAGGCTAATCCCAGTATCAGAGAACTTAGGAAAACCTTGTGTTGGGTTCCATCCAGTCTAACCCCCTCAAAAAAACAATCTGTATGCTGATGCTTTGGCTTTCTATTTACACAGCTTGATACCAAGGAGACCACAAGGCAGGGTTCCTGTTGTTCAGGAAACACCTTTCTGTCCACTGAGCTTGAGTAACTTGCCATTTACCCACAGCTTTCTCTAACCTCCGAGTTAGCATCCTTTGCTTAATTGATAAAGCTGATCATGTTACTCCTTCCTTTGTTGAGCACTTGCTCCTGTAAGTGGCACTCAGACAGCATAAAAGATCCAAACTTCCCTACTCTCACAATTCAGTTTGACTTCTGTTACAACTGTTTGAAACAGATTCATGCAGAAAGCATAAAAGCTTAGTTAGGAAGCAGTTAGGGAGCAAGCAACAGACAGAACTTCTGGCATTAACAGCCTTGTTCTTGCCCTAACACAGAACACAGATCTAAACCCACTCTCTGATCAGAGGTCTGGGCTTTCTGTCAGTATCTGATACTTGTCACAGCAGACTGAGCCACAGGAACAAGAAACTGAGCTCAGACACTGCTTTTGTTTTACTAGCCAGTCTGATGGCTGCAGGAATGCACTACATGAAGTTCTAAACTGTGTTCTGTCAAAAGAGTGAGAGTTATAAAAGGGATGTGCTTAAAAAAGTGCTGCCATGAGCCAGCCCACCACTGTCTACGCCACAGTAGCTGCTATATTCAGAGGAAAGAAAAATGAACAAGAATGCTGTTATCACAGCTCTTCCTAAGAGTTAGAACAAGGCCTTGATCAGAGTTCACAAACCCAAGGCTTACAGCCAAGGATTACAAGGAAAAAACCAAAACACATCCAGAAGAAGGAATCTGCTACGGAAGTGCTTTAGACTCAGTCATTTCAATTTTACCTTGTTAGTATAAAGATTAAAAAATTCCAAACATTTACATGGTTAGAGTCTCTGCAGGAGTGGTGTTCAGTGCAGGAGGGAGGAAGGAAAGGCAAGCTGCAAATCAGAGGAAACAGGAGGGAAACAGCCACAGAGTCTGCACAGCTATTCCATGGTTGGTTTGGTGATGAAAATCAACCTGTCCAATATAAACTATGTTTACTCTCTCAATTCAGCTTTATCTAAACAAAAAGAAAATTTTCTGTATCTAAGAGCTAAATAGCATAGGTCTTAAAAAAGTTCTTTTGCTATATGAGCCTCCTAAATCACAAGTAATTCTTGATCTTTGCCTAAGAGTTTAAAACAAAAGAGTTCCAGCAAAACACAGTTTAAAAGGGGACTTGAATTTGTACAAAAGCTTCCCCTTCATGTTAAAAGAAATAGAAAAAAAATAGTACTAATCAAAAGGAAACTGTACTTGAAAACAGCCTGACAACTCAAGATTTATAATCAGCATATCTGAAAGTATTTTATAAGAGAGATGATTGGCACCCTCAGACTTAATACAATTATTTGGTTAAAATGATGGTGAATCAGTAACAGCTCACAGGGGCTCCTGAAGACAGCTTGCATTTTCCAGTTTTTGTTCATGCTTTGATCACAGGTTTATTTACAGTCCTAAAGCAAGGAAGCAAAATGCAAAGAACTTACCTCCTCCACAGACACGGGCAGGATAACGCGGCTGGAAGGGAACACAGAGACAGAAATTAGCAAATATCCCTACAGCCCTAAAATTCCCACATTCCTCACAGCAATGGCTGCACAGCTCTCCTCTCCCTCCAGATTTCCAGCATCCACCCAGTACTCCTTAGGCCAAAGACTATTTACATAACAACCTCAAAGAGGACAAATACATGATAGAGCATAATTGCAACCCTCTCCTAAAACTCTGTAATTCAACTGGTGATACCTCACTGGCCTAGAAACCTCCACAGCATCAACACCGTGGTGATCCCTCTCACTCCATCCTTTCAGCAATCCCATCTTATTCCTCATCAAGCTGCTGGGGAGGTTTCTGTGGGCCTCAGCAATTCTGCAGAGATCTGCAACAGCCACAAGGCACTGCACGATTTGCTCACATGTCCCAAAGCAGCAGGAAACAGCAGAGGAAAGGCTTTCCCAGAGCTTGCTGCAAAGGAAGATGCTGCCACTGCTTTAAATGAATCAACTGACTGGACAACACAGCAAAAACTGCCTGAAGTAACACATATTTTTTGGAAAAGAACCCATTTAAAGCTGACAGAAATGCATGCTTGTTAAGGTCTTCTCCAAAATAGGATCTGTGTTGGACTTCTGCTTTCAGGAAAGGATGATGTTGAACAAGGAACTAAAGCAGGAGACAGATAGGAAATGCATATGGCTACCATGGGCAGAAGAATTCCCAATTCTTTGGGAATTAGTCTCAAAGAAACTAGGACACAATCAGGAAAAAAAGCCCTCTGTACTAATAAACAGATTCTGAAACAGCAATAATGGTGAAAATAATTTTTTTTTTTTTTACACTTTACCAAAAGAACAAACAGCAATAGGGGAAAAAGATTACAGATTATGCAAGATCACTTGTCACAGCTACACTTTATGCTGACTGCAAAGTACTGCAGAAAGAACTACTGAGAACTGCAAATGAAGTTCAGTGTCAATAAAGAAAAAGAAAAAGAAAAATGCACTTTAGGCACTCATTTTCACCAAACACATGGGGTTAATGAGCTCTAAGTTAGCTATTGCCAATATCTTGTGCCTTTATGGAAAAGCAGCAGGAAACATTAGCTCAGTGGCAGTTCACAAGACAATCCAATATTAGAAACTGGAACAGCACACAGACACACACACAAAAAAGACAATTATGTCACTAGAATCTCCCATGTATCAGCATCTTGAATATTGCACATAGTCCTGGTCACCTTATCTCAAAGAGGATATGGAACAAGTGAAGAAGTTAAAAAAGATGGCTGGAGATGGGAAAAAGCTTCTGTGTGAGAGGAAAGCAGTTAAGATGTGGTCTTTCAGCTTGTGAGAAAAACCAGCTAAAAGGCTCAGGTATGCAAGAGTTTTAGAGATCATAAATGATGCAAAAAAAAAGTGAATGGAGAAGGAACAGTGACTGTTTACAAGAGATCATTAGGCAACAAATTTTAGGCCAAATCATGTGTGTTTCTTTATGTCATGTCTACTGAAGACATGGCATTCCTTGCCAAACATAGGAAGTAAAAGCAATTTTTAAATGGGATTTGATCAATTCATGGAAATCCATGTGCCACTTGCTGATAGGATACACTGAACTAGAATTGTTTTACTCACTGTTACATACTGTTTCCTGAAAATACCAGCTGAAAGGCAAGAGGGAAAGGGACCAACACCAGTATGGTGTAAGGGAGGATAAAAAAAAGGAAAGAGATTTTCACAGGTAGACTTTACCATCGAGCATGATGTTGGGTTAGTTAACTGGATAAAAGTGCATAAAGAATGAAAAGAGGGGCTGGGTAATAAATTAAAGACCAAGAAACAGAGAAGAAACAATTTATTTGGAATGGAGTTAAAACGTTTTTCTTCAGAAAACCTGGTGTAAAACATTGCTGTAAGCAAATTCCATTTAGGAAACTGGAAGACACTAAATCTGAATTATCTTAGAGTTCAGTGGAGAAACAGAAACACAAACAAAATCAATGGTTTACAGTTTGTTCAGCCCAGCAGACCAAGAAAGTGGGGGTGAAAACCACTTACAGGTAGTAAAGTGATAAAGGAGGAGGAGGGAAGTCTCCTCAAGAGGATCTTGAGGAAAAGCTTTGCAGGAGCAGCATTGGGAACAAAGATTCCTAACTTTAGGACAAAACTTCCTCAATTTATGAGAAATTATATGATATGGCAGGCCTGAAAATGGTGAGGAAAATTTAAGACCCCTGTTAGGTAAAAATCTGCCTCAAATGACAGCAAAGGGAAGTACAGCTGCAGGGAAGGTCAGTGGCATTATCGTCACTTCACAGGAAAGGGAAGTGAGTCTCCACACTCTGATTCTCCTCAAGGTCTTCCGAGGCAGTTTAAATCAAAATAAGGACAGCAAGCAAGACTCCAGACAGCATTTACAAACCCTCACCAAAAACCAAAAAAATGCAAATAAATTAATTAAATCCATGTAGCTTATCTGCAGCACGGATGGATAGAAATGCAAGATAAATCTGAAAGAGAACATCAGATGAAAGTGTTAAAGTCATCACTGCATAACCATCAGCACAAGAAGCTGTAGAGAAATAATGATACAGACTTGTCTGATAATGAAATGTGACATCAGTTTTTTATTATATTGCTCTATTTCTGTATCAGCTCCTAAAATACTTACAGGGCACATAATAAAACTCATCTGATTTACTAGGGAGAGTGTGACAAGGGGTCACAGAGATGGAAGAATAATCTGCTCAGATGAGATGAAGTTACAGATCATTTAGATTTTTTAGCTTCCACAGTAGGAAGGCAGTAATTACCTGCATGGAGCCAGAACTAACATAAGTAACAGCAAAGCATTTTAAAGCCAGCTCACACCAAAACGAGTGGTTTCAATATGCCTTTAACAATTACTTCCTGGAACATGAGATTTCATCAAAAACCATCTCAAATAGGATGTAAATTGGGCAACTTCAGCATGCAACATCAAAAATATTTAAATCTGAGCCAATACAGTGACACAACTCAGAATGTGCCACTATCAGAGGTGGGTGGGAATCTCAGAAAGTAAAAAAAAAATGTTCATTTGGAAAGTCCAGTAGCAACCTTGACTGTCCTTAAAGCCATATATCTTACTAAGGGAAAACAAAGGGAAGAAAGGAAACCATATAATGGCAACACTAAAAAGCTTTAGTGACCCTTTTGAAAACAAAAATGGAAACCTAGAAAAGGAAACCAATGTAGTAATTCTGGTCTTTTAACCTTTACACTTCACACCTTGTTTCTGAAACAGGCAGTGTGAAAGACCAGTAGGCAGGCTGATATGGTGAATTAATACAAAACCAGCACACATGGTGAAGTAAATAATGTTGAGTAAAACGACTTTTGGAAGCAATAGTCCCAAAAATTAACTGTCAGAAATCTGAAAATTCAAAGTACATATGCTCTCACCTTTACAGCACAGCTCAGTGCTAATGAGCTTTACTGTGGGACAGGGCAAGGGAAGCAAGAAAAAGATATATGATAACCCAGCCAAGGTGCTATAAGAGGGAAAGTAGTAAATTCAAAGAAAAATATCAACAAAACAGATGTTGTAGAAGGAGTTAATTATCTTTTCATGCACCTGAAACTAAGCACTAGCCCAGGTTTCTGCCTGCTATCCATTTTAACACTACAGAAGGTAATGGTGTTTTTGTGTTACAGAGAGCAGCTCTGCTGCTGGTCCTAAATTCTACACTCCTATTGTTTGAATAAAAATAACAAGAGTTTAAAGATTGCGGGGGAAAAAAAAGTTAATCAAATTTAAGACAACTACAAGGATCAGTACAACCCTCAACATAGTTTTAATATTTAAATCCACACCGTGGTCCATAGTCCTGCAAAGTAAATCCTGTAAAGAGGGCACAGCCATGTAGGTAAACGTGTCTAAGAAAAGACCTGAAAACCCACTTTATCACTGGGATCACAGGTATCTTTTATAAGGGGAGAAAGAAAAAATAAACAGCCAAAAGAAGCTTAAAACGATGGAATGCACTTAACTTGGGAATGCACTTGAGTTAACCTTAAGAATTCAGGAAAGAACTGTGTGCAGAGTACACACAGCTTTGAAGACACCCAGCCAAAGTGCAGCGGTCCAAGAGTATATTCCACACTAGCAAGCACAAAGCTACCGAACCAAGGTCTGTGACAAGCAACGTGACTAATAGCTACACACCCTCATGTCCAGCCAGTTTTCCACCCCTTCATCCCCACCACGGGGCAGGACAACCGCAGCAGCCTCAGCGTCACTGAAGAACTCCAAGGTGAGGCTTCTAGACACAAAAATATTTCGGAGCTACCTCATTTCTCACATTCTTGGGAGTCCCTCCTTGGAGATTACACAGCCAAAGGCGGGAGGGGATCAAAACCAGGCTTGACACTTGGCTCTGTTACAACAAGCAGGGGACAAGACGCCCCTGCCTCCCTCAGACCTCCCACAGAAACCCCCAGGACTGAACCGGCTCCCGGCTCGGCCCTCAGCACCGGGCACCGGCACCACCCAGCCAGCACAGCCGGTGCGGGGCCAGCCGCCCGCGGAGGCCGCAGGAGCACCGGCGNGCGCGGGGCGGGGCCCGCCCGGCTTTTCCCGCCCCCCGGCTCCCTCAGCCAGCGCGCGCCTCCCTCACGGGCTTTTGCCGGGATCGCCGCTGACGTTTTAAACTAAAACGCCTGGGTTTTTGGGTGGTTTTTGGTTAGGCTTTTTTTGGGTTTTCTCATGAGGTGTAAACCGCGCGGTGCTGTTTCAGCTTTAAGGCTGGGTTTGCCAGAGCAGTGCCGCAGTCTTCCTAGCAGTGCCAATGGCAGGGTCTCCTGGCAAGCCCTCAGGTTTCTCTAGATCAACTCACAAAATAATTTTAAACTGTAGCTGCTTGATCAGGTTCTCTCAAGAGGTGTAAACTGTACGGCTGTTACTTGTTTCAGCTCGAGACTGGGGATCCCAAGAAATCTCGCTGCAGGGCTCCCAGAAGTCGCCCTCCTGCCCACCAGCAGGTTCTCCTTAAGTCACAGAATGGTTTGGCTTGGGAGAGACCCCAAAGAGTCTTGTTCCACCCCCTTCCATTATCCCAGGATGCTCCGAGCCCCATCCAACCTAGCCTTGGGCATTTCCAGGGATGGGGCAGCCACGGCTTCTCTGGGCAACCCGTGCCAGGGCCTCTTCACCCCTCATAGAGAATTTCTTCCCAATATTTAACCTAAATTTCCCCTCTTCCAGTCTGAACCCATTACTCCTTGTCCTATCACTACAGTGCCTGATGAAGGGTCCCTTTCTGGCTCTCCTGTAGCTCCTTTGGATACTGGGAGGTGCTGTGTGGTGT